AGCGGCAGAGACACAGGCAGAGGGAGAAGCAGGCTCCATGCAAGGAGCCCGACATGGGACTCGATCCCGGGTCTCCAGGATCATGCCCTGGGCTGAAGGTGGTGCTAAACCACTGAGCCACCGGGGCTGCTCCAGGCAAATGTTTCTTGATGAAGTTCACTCTCTTCCGCATTAAACCTTGCCTGGGAAATCACTCCATGGGCAAGGCTATTCAAAAATCATAAAAGATTCTTCTGTACAAGCTAGGTTACCATACTTTCCCTATTCTAACCATTGTCAGGGCTTCTTTTAGCCAACCATGAAAAAGAGCAGATTTTTAAAAATGTTAAGGCACGAAATAGTAACTAACAGAAAGGTTTAAATGCTATATTGACTCGAGTTCGAGTGATGGATCCATCAATTGTTAGCTATGTGACCATGAACAGGTTATTTAACCTCTCTGATCCTTACTTTTCTCCACTGTTGGAATAAGTGGAAAGCCAGGAATTGACACCAGATCAGTCTTCAAAGCCTATTCTTTTAATCACCACAAAGCCTATTCTTTTAATCACCACACTGGACTGCTCTAGACAGTTTAAAAACAGCACCTTGCAGGTAGGAACTCACTACATCTTTGCAGGCTGATTGATTTATCTTCGGGAGTACCCTCTTCAATCAAGAGCCATGATGGTTAAAACTAAACACCAAGGCTCAAGAGAAACCACTTTCTTCACTAAGTTTTACACATGCACAAGCTCAATAGTTGGATTTGAAACAGAGGAGCAGCCCTTTCAAATAGTAGTGAGTCTGATTAATCTGTTCACAGCACAGGAAACCACACTTCAGTGCAGAAGCTACCTTTCAGGTTAACCAATTGTGTCAACATCAAATATGCCTCCAAAGCAAGAATGTCTACTGTTTTGAAAGCTGAGATACAAAGTTTTTGTTGAGATAGGATGTTTCCATTGGCGAATTAGGAAGCTTTTATATGTTCCTGAGATGGCAGTAGGCCTTTTAAGGAAAATTCCAAAGAGAAATAAACATTGCTAAGAGAGTAGTTCAGAATAGGTTGGGGAAGACACTGAAGAAGCAGAGCCCATGAACTTCCGTTTCAATTCCCACCATGAACTTTTGAGGTCATCAATTGTAACTTGTCAACTGCAGCTTTACCAGCTCCTAGAACATATCTTTCTACTTTGGACTGAAATCCAATGTAACACCTGTTAGCTAAATAGCCAATTCTGTAGTCTCCAGTTTAACTCGACCAGCTCTAATCATAATTCTTTCCGAACAAGTTCTGTTACCTTGTGGGTTTTGCTTTTATTGACCTGTACTCTCTGCTTGTAATTTGAGCAGACTTTCTTTTTCCGTCGACTCTGTGTCTCTTGGATTGCAATCACTAAGACCCCCCCCCCCAAAAAAAAACACCTATGGTTGCATTTATAGCCTCTTCTTTTTGGTCCACAGGTCTACGAATTTGAATATCTTAAACTAGAAATTGCCATTAATTTGGGATATTGTAAAGTTCTACAACACTTCTGAAAGCAGGTTTGGATTACCTGGCTTAGAGTTGTCAGATAAATACCATAAAGAAAAGGGAAAGATGACAACCTAGAGATGGCAGCCCTCTAAAAACATTTAAATTTAAAACATTTAAAAATTACATGTAGCCAAACAAAACACAACTGAAAGTTACATGTGGCCATTGCCAAACAATTTGCAAACTCACTGAAAACAGGAGCTATCCCCACCCCCTTCACTGCCCTGCAGGGTTATCCGCCAAGCAAAATCCACAGCACTGATGGCTGAGGTAGTTTCTTGAAATCAGGCTCCATGGCTTTCTTTGTCAAGTCAGCCCTCCACTGCCTGGCTTCTAAGTGGAGAACCATACTCCCCTCTACAGAGCCAGGCACTGTCCTGACCACTCTCCTACCACAGGCCAATTTCTGTGCTGCATCATACACACCATCCCATACTCACTGCTTATCTTTGTTGCATGCCTTCAAATGACTTCACTTTCCCTTTACCAAGCCAAATTGAATCCATCTTTAATTTCATTCATTTGTGTTTTGATTTTTTAAATCCATTCGAAGAACACAGGAGTGGGATTAACTTCTAGGCCTTGGGAGGATAGGGAAGACTTACTAGAGGTGATGTGTACAGGATATAGAAGGAAGACTAGAAGGCTGCCAAGTGGAGAAGGGGAAAGGAGCATTCTAGGTGGAGGAAACAGCATGTGCAAAGTCTTGAAAAACATCCTGAAAGGCTACGGCAGGCTTGCAGGGATATGAGGCTGGAGAAGTTGGCTGTAGTCAGAAGGATAAGGTACCTGTTTGCCTCACTGAAGTAAGAGGACTTGATCCTGGAGACAAAAGGAAACCAAAGGACCTGATTTGGGTCAAGGTCCATGTGAAGCCCATGTTATCCATGGAGTCTGCTCTCACCATAAGCAACTAGTTCCTTCCTCAGTATTCCTACACCCCTTACCATCCCTACCACACACTCAAGGGTTACTACTTACAATTCTTCCAAGTATTTCAGTCTGTGTTTCCATGGACTAGAGAAAACCCAAGGGCAGGGGCCTTTTGTTTTTTTTAACTTCTCTATCCTAATGGTACCTACGAGTGCTGAGCAAGTCAATGATCAATAATTTCCCAGGAGTGGTAGGTTCATATTCCTCCAAGGGATGGCTTCAGCCAACTAAGCTCCAGAGGTAAGAGTAAGGAAAGCTCTAAACCAAAGTCACTACAGCCTTTACTACTGGCCATGAGTGACAGAAACCAAGACCACAGAACTTAACTTGGAGAGCAACTATATACACTTGGGTTGACCCTCCATGAACTTGGACTATCCCTTTCTGCCTAGTTCTGCTCCCTCACCCAAGCTGATAGTGACTCCTATTCCCCCTGGAAATACTGGGTCAGAAGAGACAGGCAACAGCACATCTCTTCTTCTGAACATGCTCCCATTGACTGGGGGTGGTGGTGGCAAGGACACAATCAATGCATTTAGGAAATGCATCCGGCCCTGAAGTGAGAGTGTGTCTGTTCCTGTATGTAAATGCCAAGTTGCAGGAGGTTACCATAGCAACTCCAGCAGGGTGCTGCAGTGGGCAGCTTTGCACAGAGGTGCAGAAACCCCATTCTTTAACATCTGGTCTTTTGCTGTGCACACTGGATCCTAGCAGGCACATCACAGCTTTAGGCCCTGGCTTTGGGAGTCTGAAAAAAAGGAGGTGGGATTTTGAAGACCTGCTAGTCCAATTTCCCTTTCTTCATGCACCACACACAGCCCTCCTTGTGCACAGTAAACACTGCATGTAAAACCCAAAACAGGCTCTTTAGAAACACATAATTCCCTATACTCATTCTTGTAAATTATGATGAACAGATTGTACTTGCACATCAGCATGACTTCCACACAAAATTTACATCCACTGAATAACCCAGCAATTGCACATTTTAATGAGCAGCATATCCACAGTGTCCCCATTCCCAGCCAGCCCCCAGTTTTTATTATGTTATTGGTATGTTTTTAATGCAAAAATAAGTAATGCCATCAAGAGTGTAGGCTGGGCTTAACACGGCCAACTAAGCTGCACTCCAGGAACCGAATACCAACTTTTCAAAGGACCAGGGAATTGAAATTGCTTGTTCGTAGGGATTGGAGAGTAGGGGTTTACTCACCCACTTCTTAATGTTTTCAATGTGAAGAAATGTCTTGTGGATAAAGGGAGATGTTAGAGGACCTTCCACATGTGGTTCTAACCTATGGATGGCCATCAGGAAGCCATGTTCCTACAGAGTGAACTCCAGCTGGCAGGACATTCAATAGGTACAATAGCCTCCTCAACAGTTTCATGGTTTCTCAGTTTGGGGATCTAGAGAGTACCTCTGAATTGGGTCACCTTTGAATTCTCTCGTGGTCAACATAAGGATGATTTACAGCATCACTAAAGAAATAGACTGCATGGTGGGCATGCACAGCAGGGAGACAGAGACATCTGGGGGTGGGGGAAAGTGAGGAAAATTCTGGTGAACCAAGTCAAAGGAAGCTGTGCTGCTCTGCAAGAGGCTGGAGCAGGACCACAGTATGTTTGCAGCCTGGTAGTGACACAGAGAGGCAGATTAGAAGTGATGTAGAGGTTCCAGGACCTGAGGGAGTTTTGTGGCCTAAGAAAATTAATATAGGGGTGTTGAGAGAGAAATGTAAACAAAGGAAGGAAGGAAGGGGGAGCCTCTTCCCCCAGGGAGATAACTGTGTGCAGGAATGCCTATGCCTGCCTATGGTGGCGTTGGGGACAAAGATACCAACATCAACACACTACAGTTGGGTGATTTCTTTATCTAAGGAAGTGTGATGGGACCTGGGCATGTGGAGGTGTCTGGATGAGGACATTGTTGCATGCAGGCGGCAAGGTGGGACTGGCCAGGATGGACAGCAGGGGTAGAGAAAACTTGAGTGTAGTGCAGGAAGGCCCGAGAGTGTCAGTAACCTGGTGACAGATAAAAGAGCCCCCTCGGAGAGTGCAGGCTACAGATCCAGCCGGTGCAGCGTGGCCTGCACACACCGGCCGCGGCGAGGGCGGGGTGGATACCTGTTTAGGCCCCCGGGAAACGCCGTGGGAGTGGGTGTCCAGGGGGTGTGAGGCATGTGGCCAGGGAGTGGGGAGAGGCGCTCGTGGGAGTCGAGCCGGTAGCAGACAAGCGCTCTGTCAATGTGCTCCCGAAGGAAAGCGGGGAGGTCAAGGCCCCGGAACGGTTTCGGAGAGGCTTCTGCAACCCGCCCCTGTGAGGGAGGGCCGCTGCGAGGTGGAAGGCCCAGCGTCCACCGCGGACCTGGGGAGAAGTCGGGGGCAGCCGGGCGCCGGCCGGCAGGTGGGTGCGCAGGGCGGGCCGGGCGCGGGGCGGGTCCGGGGAGGTCGGAGTGGGGGAGGGGAGGCCGGCGGCGAGTGGGTGTGTGGAGCCCGCCGGGGAGGGGGTGGGGGGCCGCCGGGCCGCCTCGACCTCCCCCGGACTCACCCAGCACGAAGTAGGGCAGCTCCGTGTTTTCCAGGTCGTCCACCACGACCATTTCTCCCGGGAAGTCGTTGCGCACCGAGAAGAGGAGCTTGGGCTCGGAGGCCGAGGGGCTGTGCATGATGCTCAGGTCGTTCTCGCGCAGGAAGGGCAGCGCCGACACCGTGATGCTCTTGAGCTTGCACTCCAGCTCCTTGGACGCGTCCACGTCGCCGGCGGCCGTGGCCAGCACCGCTGCCGGCGCCCAGCAGCAGGCGATCAGGGCGCACAGCCCGGCTAAAGCCATCTTGAGCCCCGGCCGCCTTCCTCCGGCGCCGCGAAGGTGGGGGAGGCGGCGAGCGGGCGGGAGCGAGCGAGCGCGGGAGGCGGGGGAGGCTGCGGAGGGACGTGGAGCCCGGAGAGCCCCGCTCCGCGGAGCCAGACGCCGCGCGCACGGCGCGGGGCTTGCGCGCTGCTTCCCGGAGCGCCCGCGGTCTTTGTTCCCCGCAGCTGCTCGGCTGGGGAAGGGAAGGGGGGGAAGGAGGAGAGAAGGGAAGGAAGGACGTCGGAGGAGAGAGGAAGGGAGCTGAGGATTCTAGGGAATCAGGTCAGCCCCCAGCAGGCTGCCGGCGCTGCCGCCTTTCTCCTCCTTCGCCTCCCCTGGCCAGAGCACGCTCTTGGCTGGGAACTACCTGCACAGCATTTTTTCGAAAAATCAGTCTTTGCAATGCAAGATCTTCCCCCACGCATCACCATCCAGATGGCTTGGGAAGGGCACACAGGCACACACACCTTAAAAGGCGCTTCCTGAGAGCAGGTGCGGGGGGGGGGGTCCTCTCTAGATGCAAATGAGCCCCCTCTCCCCCGAATATTTTGTGGATTGGGTGACCCCATTCTTGCCTTTTTTTTACCCACTAATTTTGCATTCGTGTGTTGGAGAAACGGGTGCGGAGAAAAATGGATGTATATATATTTTTACGCAGCACTAACTTTGCAGAAATATTTAGAGGAAATATGTGGCTTCTAGATATAGTTAGCTCAAGAGGTAGTTGTGAACAACAAAACAAAGGCAATGCACTGTGCACAGTGAAGCAGGAGGTCAGAAGTTTTATTGGCAACTTTTTTCAGTTCTTTGTTTCATTTCTGTGACAAATGTTATCTATGGTAACCAATATAAAGTTGATATGGGGAGTGCTACAATTAATTTAAAAAAAAAGTAGAACCAGCTAAAAGAAATCTGGAGCCTTTAGTTATAGAGAATCCCGTCAATATAACAGAGCTGGAAGAAAATGTGTGTAGTGGGGCGGGGGGCAACCTGAAGTGTCTAAGCACCGCTAACAAATTGGAAATAAATGAAAGAGTATCCTTGGATATGGGCCAAGTCAGTACCAGCCCCATCAGAAGTAGAACGCATAGATAACAAAAATAACCCCATATAAATTTTATTTCCACTAGTGCTGGGCAGTGTTGCCTCAACAAAAGGATGACAATATGCAATAAACCATGGTAGAAAAGTGGTTTGTGTGTGCTGGAATCTGATGTTTTACTGAACTTTCTCTCCCGTGATAACCAATAACTTATTTTAAAAGTTTGCCTTCCAACATCATTTACTCAATGCTGATTTAAATACTAGGTGCTGTAAGTCTCATATAGGTAGTTGCTACTCTCTAGGAATTTAATGCACCACACTTTCCAAGGAGGACTTTCCATTTTAGAAACCATTTCATTCTCATGGTACCTGGTGTTAATTTACTGGTATATATGTCCTTTAAAGGGAAAGTCCATATATTGCCATATATTTCACAAGGTTACTCAAGTCCATGGATGAGAATAGAGAAGATGAGCTATATTTAAGGGCTGAAAGACCTGTTAAATATGAAAAGAAGAACAAAAATACTTCATTACAAGTTGTGTTTTGAATCTGCTGTACCTGAGAACTAATCCAGAGGTAGATTACACACACCCTGCAAAAAAGATTTATTAGCTGATGACCTTCCTAAAATTCATTCTTATTTTCATTTCTCCCTTAGGAGGTACCGAGGAAGAGAAAGACCCCAGGAAATCTTTTTTTTTTCCTACTCTCCCTAGCTTAAAAAGCAGTATTAAGCTTAGTTATGCAGAGTTTACCATTGAAAGATTAGAGTAGATGCCAGGAAAACACACTTAATCGTAGAATGCAAGAAATGGCACGTGACTAACCAGATCATCTATTAGTCCAATCTTTCAGATGGATTTAACAGATGATGAGATTAAGTCTAATGAAATAGTGAGGTGATTTACCCAAGATCAATCTGCTAAGAAGGGGTAGAGCTAAGACTGCAAATAAGACTTCTTGGCCTAATAGCCTTTCCACTCCACAGACTACCTTTAGGTGCATCCATGGATTATCCTCAGACTTTATGGATCACATTCATTCATCCAGTAAACATTTGGTTACCTACCATATGCTGGGCATTAGGTTAGGCATGGACAGGAAAAATACTCCTGCTTTTGAGTAGCGTATAATCTGCAATTACTTTGAAATCTTTGATCTTCTAAAGTGTTGAGTCATTTTAGAAAACCCAAGCGAAACATTTGGGGTTGATATTCCAATAAATCAATATCTAGTATTCTTTACCTATCTGTAGTCATCTTTGCATGCTTTCCTATACACATTTACAAGGAAAAAAAGAATAGATTTAATGGTCACTGAAAAATGTATATTGAATTGGAAATAGTTGAAAGTTGTTGTCTCAGTCTTTATAGACCTCTTTCTCTATGGGAACGTCAGACAAAAGAACTGTACAAATAAAAAGACGTCACATATTGCTAGGGCACAGGAGTCCTGTAAACATAGATACAATGTCTCATGGCCTCCTCTCAGGGAATTAAATACCTAGAGAGGAGGGAAAGGGGCAGCCTGGGTGGCTCAGCGGTTTAGTGTTGCCTTTAGCCCAGGGCATGATCCTGGAGACCCTGGATGGAGTCCCACATTGGGCTCTCTGCATGGAGCCTGCTTCTCCCTCTGCCTGTGTCTCTGCCTCTCTCTGTGTGTCTCTCTCTCTGTGTGTCTCTCATGAATAAATAAATAAAATATTTTAAAAAAAGGAAGAAGAGGGAAAGGTTGAAGTTCACAGAAGCTAGAGTATCTGTGCTGTGTGATGTTTTGCATTTAAATGGAACTGGGATAAATTTGTATGCATCCCAACCATTACCTTTTGTATAGGCAACCTGATGCAGTGAAACAACAGGTTTGGGTTCAAGTCTCAACTCTTTAATTGGCTTATTTGGAAATGAGATTTTAAAAAATATTTTATTTATTTATTCATGAGAGACACACAGAGAGAGGCAGAGACACAGGCAGAGGGAGAAGCAGGCTCCATGCAGGGAACCCAATGCGGGACTCCATCCCAGGACTCCGGGATCACGACCTGAGCCAAAGGCATGCACTCAACTGCCAAGCCACCCAGGCTTCCCTGGAAATGAGATTAGAGAATTTTTTAATTTTTTTTTTTTCGAGAGAGCTTGCACTTGGAAGGGCAATGGGAGAAGAGGGAGAGAGAATCTTAAGCAGGCTCTACACACAGGGTAGAGCCCCATGTGGGGCTCAGTCTCAGGACTCTCAGATCATGACCTGGGCCAAAATCAAGAGTCAGACACTCAGATCACTGAGCTACCCAGATACCCCGAGAGTAGACCATTCTTATCTTCAGTATCCTCATCAGTGAAATGGAGTCTGTGATCTCTGCCCACCCCATGGGCCACAGATAGGTGCTAGTACTTATATTCACTGAGATGCTATCGAATGGCAGGTTCTGTTATCTCTAATTTATCCCCTCTCTCCTGACAATACAGATACACATTGCAATCAAATTCAAGCCCATTTCCCATTTCCAGTCCTCCCATGCCCTTCTGTCCATGTGGGATGCTTTGATCTGTGTTTTCCAGGTTGTCCCATTGCCACAGACCAGTCTCCAACCTCATCTACATGGTGGGTCCCTCTATTACATCCTTGTCTTACAGCCCCCCTCACAGAGCACTTATATTCACGCACACTCCACTTTGCACTCCCAGGGCCACCTCTTAACACTATGTCTTGCATTTGAGATTCTTAATTTGTAGAATAGAAATGATTATACATACTTTTTAGAGTAGTTGTGAGAAGAAAGTGAGACTGTGTATGGAAAAGATTGGACATATTTTAGGCATTTGGTTGGTGTTCAGTAGTGATAGCCTTTGACATTATCCCTTTATTCAATTATTTCAGATAGGAAATAGGCTTCAGAATCTCCTTCGTGACATTGCCTCCCTTGTAGTAGCCAAAAGCAAATTAAGTGATTTTAAACTCCTTGGTGTATACCAAGGATAAATACTGCATGTGTTCACCAAAAGAAATATGTAAGAATGTTCATAGCAGGTTTACTTTGAATAGACCAAAAAAACCCAAAAATGCATCACTAGGAAAATCTATAAATGATTTGTAGTCACACAATGGAATACTACATAGCAATAAAAAAACATGCAGCCACATGGATGAACCTCACAGACAGACATAATGATAAGCAAAAGAAAACAGACACAAAAGTGTGTTTATGCTCAGCTTCTATTTATGCAATTCAAGAACAGGTAACATTAATCTTTGATGATGGAAGTCAGAATAGCAGCTATCTGCAGATGAGCTTCTGGGGAACTGGAAATGATGTGGACAGTGGTTACATGGAGGCATATACAGGCAAAAATTCATCAAACTATACACTTGTGGAATTTTTCATGTGTATTATACCTCATTAATTTTTTTTAACATGGCTGAGAACTCCATACCTACAGTATGGAGAAGGAAGGTCAAATCTGCATAATAAGATACAGAGGAGGTGAAAGTGATGGATGGGTGGGGCTAAGGGTGTGTGTGTGAGAAGTGGTTCTAATTTTTTCTCATTCATTCAGAACATCTGGCTCCTTCATGCTTTTTTAGCTAATCTTGATGCATACTACTTGGGTATTCATTAAACTTCTGCTTTCTTTTATTTTTTTCCAGGTTTTTTTTTTTTTACAAAATAATAATTTTTGATTTTGCTCTCCATTCAAGAAAGCTAAATCAAAACACTGCTCTTCTTTTCTATGTATTTCTTCTCCCCATATTTTCTCCCACCACACAACTCGGTGTGAACTCCACAAATTCCTTTGCCAGCTCTAGCGCCTAGCTCTTCTGTTGAATTGGATTTTTCTTCAACTATTACTCTCAGGTGCTCTTGCCCAAATTGAGTGTAGTATGTTAGTTAGCTGGACGCAATTCAGCTGTGCAACCTCATTAGGACATCAAGAATATAT